ACATTTAAATATCAACACCTTACCTGTTCAAACAGGTGTGGGTAGTCACGACGAACATCCTCCTCGCGCTCCCAAGAAATCTCTTCGGCTCCTTGCCGGTTCTACTGAACTTTCACTAATAGAATGACTTTGTTTCTAAGCTTTTTATTCTCCCTAGCAAGAATGCATACCGGAATCTCTACGATAGTCAAATCATCCTGAATCTCAACCTCTAGTGAATCAATCACCCTCTGTTGCTCTTCGTCATGCAAATGCTTCTTGAGCATCGAAATATGAAATACATCATGTATACTCGACATCGATGCCGGAAGATCTAATTGTTCGCGTGGAAAACTGTTTTCTTTTTCATTGATATGATTGTCATCTTGGGTTACAAAGATCCGGTCTTTTATAGATCCGGTTACAACTAAATCAAAGAAAAAAAATAAAAATTACAACTTTCCTCTTGTGAACAAATCGCAAGCTCCTGTTTTGCGGTTGCTTGCTTGTGTGGGTTCTTTGCCGACGCCGGGGTTAATCCGTGGACCACCGCGCGATCTAGATCCGGTCGGATCTACACGATTATGCGGGTATTATTCCACGAAGGGAATAATAGCCGGGAGGGATTAATCCACCAAGGGAATAATCGCTCAGATCTCGAGATCTAAGACCAAGCTTAGATCTGGAGTGTAGTCTCGTGTAGATCTCAGATCTGTTCTTTCTTCCTCTCGAGATCCTGCCTTTTCTGACGTGGATGGTCGCCGAGGATCAGATCTGAATGTGCAAGTCTTCAAGTCTTCAAACTCCGAGTTCACTCTTCAATCCGGCAGAGTTTCGGCTCTTGAAAGTTCGACCTCTGAAAATGAACATCTCTAGGCCTATTTATAGGCTCTCAGGACAGTGGCCGCAAAAAGAGAAATGTCGGCCACCTCTGGCCACCGTCGGCCACCTCGGGGTGGCCGGCACTGTGCCTAGCCACCTTGAGGTGGCTCGGCTCATGGCCGAGCCACCCCGGGCTCGTCGGCCGCCGAGCCACCCCGAGGTGGCTCGGCTTTAGCCGAGCCCCCGCGGGCGGTGTTTTCCGACTTTTTTCGAGTCGTTTTCCGTTGGTTCCGGTTCTATCCATGATTCGGTTGATTGAGATTCTGATTGGTTGATCTGATTTGGCAGTAAGTTGGATTCCTGATTTGGCAGTAAATCCGCTTCTGAGTTCGAGTCCGAAATTGATCTTGATTCGATCGTGATTCCTCCGAGTCCGCTCTCGGTTGGATGACTCGTTGATTCCTCAACTCATTAGCTTGATTCTGCACGCGGGTGGATGCATTCCGTCGCTTCTGTGCGATTCGTCGATCTCGTCGCCTCGTTGGTTCGTCGGTTTGTGCCGAGCTATGCTAGGGGACCTATAAGCAATTTTATATGCCTACACCAACCCCCAGTCTAAGTGAGTTTTATTTCTCCTATTAAACTTGGTTGTGGATCAGAAAAAAGGGTCTCATGATCTACAGGTAGTATATCTTGAGAAATTTCCCGTTGATTGGCATCATGAGCCTATCACCTTTCTAATTGATGAGACAGTAGGCTCCGTTCGAATAGACTGATTCTGTTGTGAAGGGTCCTTCCCACTTAGGATTGAATTTGTCTTTGGTCTTGTGCGTCATCACCATAGGTCGTCTGACGGCCAACACTAGATCGTCTTTCTTGAAGATCCTTTACTTAACATTCTTATTGTAGGCTTTGGAAATTCGATATAACTCGATCTGCTGCTGGGCTTGAAGTCACTTATCGTCTAATGCTTCTAGTTCTTGAAGGCGTAGTCGATGCTGCTCTTCATCCGTCATCTTGGTTGCAAGGGCAAATCTTAGGGATGGGATCTGAATTTTCAAAGGTAATACGACTTCACAACCATATACCAAAGGAAAAGGGGTGCATTTTGTTGGGGTTCTCACCGTTGTGCGATAAGCCCATAGACATTCGCCTAGCTTTTCATCCCAATCGAGTCGACTCTTAGAGACAAACTTCTTGAGAAGTTTCACGATAGTTTTGTCGAAAGCTTCTACGAGGTCATTAGCTGGCGGGTAGTATGTCGTTGATGAAACACTTTGGATCCTAAATTTATCACAGAATCTCTAAAAACCATGACTGACGAACTGTGTTCCATTATCGAGGACTATTCATCTCGGTACACCAAAGCGGTACATGACGTGATGCTTAACGAACTTGATCACATTTGAAGTCTTAACTTCTTTCAAAGGAATGGTTTCTACCCACTTGGAGAAGTAATATGTTACTGCCAATATGAATCGATGTCCTTTGGAGGTCGGTGGGGAGATAGGTTCGACGATGTCCATTCCCCACATCTCGAATGGCCAAGATGAAGATGGTGGATGCAGATTTCCTGGTTCTTGATGAATGAAATCACCATGAATCTAACATGTCTGAAATATTTTAGGCCAATAGTAACCAATTCTTCTGAGACGATCTCCTAATTTAGTTCATGGTTAGTGAACTCTGCACATTCCATAATGAGCTTCTTTAAGAGCCTCCTGTACTTCTTTTCTGGAAAGGCAGTGAAGCAAGACTCCATCGTGTAATTTTTGATACAAGGTTTGAGAAACCACATCATAATAGAATTGAAGGGCCTCTCTGCTTCCCACTGACGAATGAACACAGGTGCGGTCGACCGGTCCGGTCGACCGCATTCTGATACATTCCAAAATACTGATTTTGACACACTTAAACAATTTGTAAAATATTCATTTGACTTCTGAAAATTGTGAAACTTTGTAAAATGTTTTTAATACTAAAAACAAATTGTTTAGAAAAGGAATTTTGTAAATAAGTCCTCATACTTGTGAGAAATAGTATTTTATGAAAAACGCTTAAAAAACATAAGTATGAAAACGTGTGTGTGATATCCCAATAGCTTCAAGTGAAATCGATAACTCTTTGCCTACATTCTAGCACTAGAGAGAAAATAAAAACTAGCTAATATCCTCACATAGAATACAATTCTTGAGTCTTGCTAATATCCTCACATAGAATAAAGTTCTTGAGTCTTGATAATAGCTTGAGTTGGATGAAGCTTCTATATGAATTTGTTGTTCTTGAAATAACATTGCTTCATCACTATGTCTCCTCCTCCTTTGGATATCATCGTTGTAGCGCATATTCCATCCAATCCTCCATATGTGGTACTAACACGCTTGATAAATGAATTTACTATATTTGCACTCAATAAGCCATTAGTACCGATAATGGTGGTTGTAAAACATTAGGAATAGAATATTTTATAGTTGACCCCAATCCGAAAGTATATATGTTACCGCTTCTGTCTAGGTGATATTCTCTGCTCTAAGGTGGCAACTGAAATAAGTATATATTGAATATGAATAATACTTGTACAAATTGCTATTGAAAATAACGAGGATAATTGATCCGCGTGTCGCTGCGGCAGTAGCGTGAACAAAATAAAAAATAATGGTTTATTTATTTGGTTTAGAATTACTTAATTTGTGGATAAAACTATTTTTTCTAAGATGTATTGCTAATAAATTAATAAGAAAAAAATGTAAAAGTTAATGGTTTAAACATTTTATTAAGAATTTTCTCCTTTAATTTGTGGGGGAAAAAAGAAGATGTAAGTATCTTAATTCGTTCCCTAAATTAATGAAATTACTCTTACATCCCCTAAATTATTATGGAGTTGTTTGAATTAATTTCCCTCCATTAGCACTTGTTTAAAATAGAAAATATTCCTTCAATTTTAACTTTTTCAGAGTGGATACCCTATTTTATACAAACACATGCTGGATGTTTTTTTTATTTCTTTTTTGCGGGCGGGGTACCCTATTTTATACAAACACATGCTGGATGTTTTTTTTATTTCTTTTTTGCGGGCGGGGGGTGGGGTGAGATTTTAGTGTCAATGATTGGAGTGGCAGTGTGGGAAAAGTTCCACCTCTCACAGAAGTTGAAGAGGGGATTGAAAAAAGAAAGAAAGCTGACATTCGGTGAGCTCCTGTTATTCTGTGAGAATGTTTTAGTAGTTATTTATCCATAATTAAAGGTTAATCTAATCATGATTAACAAATTAGATAGACTTTTTTTTGGTCAATGAAAAATTTTATTCATTCAACCATATGAAAATTTTTGTACATCATGATTCTCATAATATGAGAAAACCTATATATTTGACAGATATACTAAAAAACATCACATATACTCCGAAAAACTATTTACAGTGATAAAACCCATTCTCTATCTTCCGGAGCAGTATTGCCATTGAGAATTAGTATCAACATATCAACTTTGATCTCTTTAACTAGCTGATCAGGCCCTTTGGATTTCTGAATAAAAATCCTGGAGTTCCTTTCATTCCAAATCTTGTATAATGAAGTGTTAAAGGCCATCCTCTTAATCCTTTGCTTAAAACCCTTGCCTCTCAAACTGGTAGTGAACCATTCCAACATACAATTCCAGTTACAAGAACGCCATCTGAAGTTAAGCCATGACATGATCTTGTTCCAGACATTCATAGAGTATTCACATTCAAAAAAGAGATGGTCACGACTCTCTATTGCATCACCATTGCAAAGATAACAGGAATTTGCATTCAGTATCCCCATCCTAGCCAACCTGTCTTGTGTTAGCAACCTGTTTTGAACAACAAGCCAACTTATGATGGAGTGCTTAGGGTAATTTAAATTTCCCCAAACAGTATTATACCATGGAACTTTGAGGGAAGTTGGAGATAGAATTGTATACAAGGCTGATGGTTTAACTTTAGAATTCTTGTAGCAAGATCCAATGATAAGCTTCAGGTTATCAGCCCCTCCAGTTAAATCCAAAGCCTTATCTCTGTTTTTCAGCATTTGTTTCCAGAGCCATGAATCATTTGTTTTAGCATTAACAGTCCAGATATCATTGTGTTTTAGATAAGTACCATGGATCCACTTAATCCATAGGAGCTCTTTATTCACATGAATATACCAGATATTCTTCAAAACAGCAGCAAAATTCCAGAGTTTAGCAGAGGAAATTCCTAATCCACTAAATTTTTTCCCCTGACAGATTTTCTCCCATGCTACCAGAGAAACTTTTTGCTTATGATCAGATCTTCCCCACAAAAAATCCCTATTCATTTCATCAATTCTCTGAAGTACTTTCATGGGCAGAATGTAACTAGATGTCCAGTAGATTTGGACACCTAAAATCACACTTTTTATAACTTGTATTCTGCCTGCATATGAGAGGCTCTTGGAAGATCATTTGTGAAATTGATTGCTAATCCTGTTGAGCAGAGGATTACAGTCTATATATGAAAGTCTTTTGCATATGAGAGGGACTCCAAGATATCTAATAGGTAGATTTCCTTCAGTGTAACCCAACAAGTCATTTATAGAAGCCTTAATCCTTTCATTTACACCCCCAAAGAAGATATGACATTTGTTAGGATTAGCCTCAAGCCCAGAAGTTGCACTGAAATTTAGTAAACACTGCTGAAGCTTATTGACTGATACCAGATCTCCCTTGCTAAAAAGTAATAGATCATCAGCAAAAATAAGATGAGTTATCTTGAGCCTTTTGCATTTCGGATGGAAATTGAATTGTTTGTCATTGCTCAATAAATCCAAAGTCCTAGAGAGATAATCCATGCCCAAGATAAAGAGATATGGGGATAAAGGATCCCCCTGTCTCAGCCCCCTTTTGCCTTTGAAATATCCTTGGAGTGATCCATTTAAAGAAATGGAGTAAGAAGGGGTAGATATACAAGTCATAATCCAGTCTACCATCTTATTAGGGAAGCCCAATCCAATCAGTAAATCTCTAAAAAAATTCCAGTTGATGGTGTCGAAAGCTTTTTTGATATCAATACTAAGCATAACTCTAGGGGAGATACATTTCCTGTTGTAGTTCTTGATCAATTCATGTGCAAGCAGTATATTATTAGTGATTTGCCTTCCTTCCACAAAAGCACTTTGAGCTCCATTGACTAGAACCCCCATAACTGGTTTTATTCTATTCACCAATATTTTTGAAATGATTTTATAGAGGACATTGCAGCAAGATATAGGCCTAAATTCAGATGGGGAAGTAGGACAGTTAACTTTAGGGAATTAGATAGACTTTGTAGCAACATAGTTTACTAATTGCTCATCCATAGTTAGGTACTAATCTAACCATGTTTAAACATTTCATTGAAAATTTTATTTTGAAATTTTTGGATAAAAATATTTTGTGAGTTGTACTGTATGTCAAAGAAGGCAAAAAATAATTGTTAACTATTTAGTTTAGAAAATTCTTTTTAGCTTGTCAATAATTTTTTTTAGAATTGTACTTAAGATAACCATGTACTATATTTATATTTCTATTCATTTTGATAAACATAGTGATGTATTCGCATTGTATTATGTTCTTTTTATTTTGGCCCACTAAGCCCAAATGAAACTTATTGGGTCTTACTTCAGCTACAAGAGCTCATCAGGTTTAGATTCATTATTGGGTTTCTCTGAATGCAAGAGATGCAACTGCTCTATTATGTAAATTGCTTTTCTTAATGAGAAAAGAGGCTTGGGTTCTATTCTTCTCAAGCTTAGGAAGCAATTTTAGTTTTTTATGTCTTGGGCAATAGGGAGAGAATACTTAGAGAAACATTGGTCTTTTCTTTTGAAAAAATTTAACAAAAAACCCCCGTAAGTTTGGACCGTTCCTAGATAATCCCATTTAACTTTCAACAATCTTCAAAAAAAAGAACAAACCATAGTTTTTATAGGCAAAAAAAATGCCATGCTAATTTTGTACACATGTGAAAACTATGCTCGACGTTGTTAGAGGGGCTTTTTGAATAATGTTAAAAGTAAAAGTTGTTTTTATTTATTTATTTTTTGAGAACCCAAAACATAAGGAAAACATAAGGTGAGTTCTGGACCATTTTAAAGGTTAAAGCCGGGGAAGGCTACCTAAGGAACGACCAATTAAAGAAGGTTTTTCTAAAATGTACCCATATATTTTTTTTGGCTTATTTGCACTTTGGCACCCCAAAGGTTACCAATATTTTTATTTTGATATCTCAAAGTATCATTTTAACACTTTGACACTCCTGATACTCCAAAGTTTAAATCCCATTTAACTTTGGTACCCCCAAAATATTTCTTTGACACTTTGATAACCCAAAGTTTCAATCAAGTTACACTTTGATACCCCCATCATATTATGTTAAATTTCTACTATATTTATATAAAGTCCTTAACATGTGATACTTAGATCTCTTTTTCATCATATTATGTTAAATTTCTACTATATTTATATAAAGTCCTTAACATGTGATACTTAGATCTCTTTTTCCCAGTTGGTAAGCACGTGATTACTATATTTATATAAAGTCCTTAACATGTGATACTTAGATCTCTTTTTCCCAGTTGGTAAGCACGTGATGCAAATTTAATAGAAAATCCAATAATATGTATATAGGGGTATCAAAGTGAAATGAGGTTGAATCTTTGGTATATCAAAATGGTAAAATACTAAAATGATACTTTGGGGTATCAAAGTGAAATGACATTGAAACTTTAGGGTATGAAAGTGTTAAAAAATTCTGTGGTTTTGAAGTGAAAAAGTGGATGGAATTTGGGGCTGTCAAAGTAAAAAATAAATATCTATTTATTTTCTATTTTTATCTGCTTCTTTCAATTGAGCATTGGTGAGATAAAACACATGTTTTTCCTAAAATTTACCATTTAAAAAGGTTTTCCAAAATAAACAGCTATTTTTATATATGACTGTGTTGTCTTATTAGTTGCTATCAGTGCACTTGTTTGTATTTTTCTTATTCTCGATAGAGTGAAGATATTGTTTTGAGTGTTACTTTTGACTGTGGTTTTACTATGGTTTATGAAGTCAAATATAGTTCAGTCACTATTGCCTTTTTGTTGTCATTTTCTAAAGTTTTGGGAGCTACAGTACATGGCTACTGTGAAATTTTCTAAAAATTTAGTAGATAGGATAATAGTAAATAGTAGATAAATAACAATAATACTAAGCTATTGGGTGAACTGTAGCTTAGAAACAGTGGTAATCCCAATAGCTTTAGGGCGTGTTTGGATTTCAATGTGGTTAAGGGAAGTTAAAGGAAGCTAGGTGAGAGAAGAGAAGGGAAGGGAAGGGAGTTCCCTGCCCCTTGGTTACACCCCAATTTGGGGGGTAACAAATTTTATACTATTAAGGGGTGAACTAAGGGGAACTAGGGTGAATAATTTCACCTCCTAAATGTTCCCAAACAAGGTGAATGGTTCCCCTAACTTCCCTTCTTCCTTATTCCCCTCAATCCAAACAAGCCATTAGTGTATAGATAAAGTGGTTGAGAATTTCACAATATTTTATTGGAATCACCGAAAAAGATAATAAAAATTATTAACTTCACCTAATAGGCTTTGCCGAAGCCCAAATCTTAATGTGGCAGCTGGGCCCAATATTGATATATGTTGGTCTGGATGGGAATATGAACATTATATTCCTAAATGCAAACAAGTTCATAACTGATAGTGCTAAACCAGAAAAAGATTAATACATAAATTGGCAATTGTTATACCAAAGATCATTGTTTTTCTGACTGGTTTAGATTGCGAAGGAACTAGCTTTTACATGTTTACCAATTTTTTGAGTTGACTCAGCCATTTTATTTCCATGGTTACTTTTAGTTATGATAGTAAGTTTGTAATTCTTACCTGTCCTACTTTGTTCAGGGAGAACTGAGAAGAAACATTCAATTTGCGCGCGTGATTTCTATTCTGCTCCCATCTCTAATTCTACTGTACGTATTAGTTCTTGCTGTGTGGTGAACATAAAATATACCAGAAAATTCTTTTTGGTACATACTGAAACACATGAAGTTCTTGTTAATAATTAGTTTTTATGATTTCAAATGTAGCACGTAATCTGTACAAATACAACTTGCTAAACTGTTCATTAAAGTTCCCTAATACCTATAGTCCTACATGGAGTAGAACACTGATTTAATTCAATGGTACTAAACGCCAAGTAACACTAATCTGAATTCCTAATAGAAATAAAATTCTTCTCAAGTAATTTTAGCTGTGAGAAAACAGATAATTAGGATTAAACTGTATGAAGGAATAATTTTGGGTAAAAGTTACAAACATAGTATACTGGTTAGTTTAATAAAAATCATAAAAATATTCCATATATAGGTTTGATCCACCTCCATGCTGATTTCAATTCGGAAACATAAATTATTGTTGAGTTAAGAAAACTTCAGCGATCCGCAGCGACCTGATCAAATGTATCAAAAATAACACATTAAATACAAAACCAGAAAACAGAGAGACAATCACAAACATACAATATTTACGTGGTTCGATCAATTTGATCTACGTCCACGGCAAGAGGGAACTTTTTATATATTTCTCTCTGAGTTTCAACCCTTATACAAAATTTTGAGAGCAATGATTTTTTAGCTCTATGTTTGAGTGGAGAAAAGGAGTCTATTAGTTCACGAAAGAAGAGATGAGAGTGTGATTGATGAGGAGGACCCACGAGTGAGGGTGACCCCCAATCAAATGAAATCTCTTCCTCACCAGAGTGACACTCCAGTCAAATAAAATCTCCTCTTTGATTATTTTGCTCAAAATAAAATATGATGTCATTCTTCAATTAAAAATTGGGTCCTGCCAGAGATTTGAAATGGGTCCCACCCATTTTGGATTCAAACCAAAAAATCAACAATTATGAATTCTCAGGGTCTACTGCATTATTCACCTGATGACAGACCACATAAATTGTTTATTAATTGTTCTTCAAGTTTTCTTAAAGATTTGAAATTGTAATGAGTATATTTGAACTCGTCAACTAATTTACTTCCATTTTCCTTGCCAATTCAAAAGACATAACTTTCAAGTTTAAAAAAAATAGATAATGTGAACAACTTCAAAAGGATTTAAGTGGTGGAATATATCTTGGAACTAACATCACGGATAGAATCATATAACACTCTGAACACCTTAAAGTTTGGTAGAGTATCTGAAGAAGAGGAAGGGGGTTAAAAACATCATTGCACTTATGGGGCACTGATTTACCAAGCGAAATTTTACAGTGTTCATAGGCAAAAGATTATAAGTCATATAGTATTATTACACTAACTGGACAAACACTGCATTAGACTATTAAACAATTTACACTGACTTTTTTTTTTTTGGAACAAGAATATGTAAGCTACGTACAGAAAAGCAATCTCTTCAATAAGCATTTGAAGAAAGAGATTCGCATGTATGTAATCGAACTAACGTGAACATGTTAATTACATAATTGCAACTGAATAACATAAGCGGAGACCGTAGCAATAAACAATTTATAGATTCATCTGACAAAGAATCTGATTCCTCAAATTAATTACAGAAATAAACAAAAAAGTGACTCCGTACCTCTGTCTTGGACTAATTACAAAATAAACGTATTCTAACTTTCCAATGTGGTAACACTAAAATTCTTCCGTATCAGTTTCTTTTTAAAGTAGTAACAAATGCTAGCCATGGATGTCTATTTTCTCCATCATCTCTTGTCAGCCCCCAGATGTCCACGACCTCATTTGCTTTCAGTTTACTTTTCTTGAGGAACTCGGTATATTGACGACCCATGAATCTGTAGGTTTTAGAGCTGGTAACGTACTTGAATACCATCTCATAGGTGTTTCCAGCATCGTCCATAATATTCATATCCACTCCGCCAAATTTTGCTTGATTCGCAATATCTCGTAGAGCTTTATTAGACTTGTCGATGTCGGTTTGCGTCAACTGAAACCGGTGCTGATTAGGATTGGTGTCTGATCTGGTGACCCTTTTGTTGGGGAGGTACAACTTGTGGTGGGTCAAACCCATCTCATCTGCTCTATCTCGCCACCTATCAGCCTGAGCATTTCTTGATGAGTAATTTGCTCGCGATGTCTTCCGCTTCTTTGGAGGTAAGAATTCATCCTCATAATTTGGAGACGAGG